CGCGCAGCGAGCAGGCAGAAAAGACAGCGGGAAAGGATGCGGCGCGGGAGGCGTTATGTTTTGCTTTCGCCTAAACAATGCAACGTCCATCCGCAACAATCCAAAAACGAAAGCCTGGACCCCTTATCACAACGTCCCCGCGGCCTGCCCTACATGGAGCATCCTAGACCGCCCTAGATGCGGTAGACCACGCGCGGCTCGCGCGCCACGGTGATCAAGCGCCCCCCGACGGACGCAAAGAGGACCGCCCAGCCGGGGGGCATCCTGTCGATACCACTAAAAAACAAACTAACGTGCCCGATGACGATCTTGGGGAAGATGCGGAGCGTGTTGCTGCACGCCTTCGGTGACGCCCTCAATCGCTCGCTTTGGCGTCGCAGCCCAATCTCTCCTCGGTCGTCGCGTCGACCGCGCAGCGGCCAAATGCCGCGTTCGAGGCCGGAGCGGCACTCCGAGGAGCGACTCGGGCGAGCCGCCGATGCCGGCGCTTCGACGGCAAGCCAAGAGCTGCCTGGGGGACTTGACCGTGTTGGAGGGCCAACAACACCCACCAGGCGACCTTCTGGTCCGACAGCCACTCGCTCGCCTTCTTGCGACGGCAGCGAAGCTACGCGCAAAATAGAAGTCGACTGATATGTTGTTCCCACGGCTACCACTGCTATTCATATCACTGTTTCTACTACTGTCACCACTACTACGCGATTGTACCCAACAGCCTTTGAAGAACCCCGGAAGCAAACGGAGGCCCACGTGGGTGAGGAAGCGGATGAGGGGGCCAATGGGGAACTTGTTGTTGTGGTGGTGCTTCCGCGTTTTGGCGTCGAAGCACTGGCGAATACCATGGCCACGACAGAGCAAATCCAAAAAGGCGCCGTGATGTAGGCAAAACGCTGGCTTTACAATAACACAGTCTGGTTTGATATAAAACGCCAACCAAATGTCTTACAACCGCCGCCGAAACCCTCAAGGGGGAAAGAGAAACGATGGCAGAATATGAGTGGGGAGGAGTGGCAAGTTCGCGGGGATATATAAATCAGCTGGCTGGACCGGCAGGAAAATCAGCTTTCCTCCATCCCCTTTTCATTATCCTCCTCCTGCCCCCGTTTTTCCTCGTCGTCGTCGTCCTCCTCCGTCTCATCATCGTCGTCCCTCCTGTTCTTCCTCATCATAACCGCCCCTCCTCTTCCTCATCACCACCATCATCACCAAGCATCCTCCTCCTCCTCCTCCTCATCATCAGCATTACCATCGTCATCATCATCCCTCCTCCCCATCCTCCTCGTCATCATCCTCAGCTCCATCATCCCTCAGCATCCTCGTTCTCATCAACATCCATCCGCCTCGTCCGCCTCACCCTCCTCCTCCTCGTCATCATCGTCATCGTCATCGTCATCGTCGTCATCACCGTCATCATCACCATATGTTCATTCTCGGCCACGTCCACTCCCCCCTCCTCATAATCATCATCATCATCATCATCATCATCATCATCATCATCATCATCATCATCTCCCTTTTTATCCGCGCAACCAAAACAACAAGAAATCCATACATTCAAGGACACTAAGTAACCAATACAATCAAAGTGAGACAGAGAGAGGGATAGAGAGAGAGAGGAGGAGGAGGAGGAGGAGGAGGAGGAGGAGGAGGAGGAGGAGGAGGAGGACTAGGAGGAGGAGGAGGAGGAGGAGGAGGATGAGAAGGAGGAGGAGGAAAAAGAGGAGGAGGAGGAGGAGCAGGAGGAGCAGGACGTGCAGGAGGTGGAGGAGGAGGAGTGAGGGAGAATGCGGAAGAGGAGTGGTCCTTCGCGCGAGAATATCTGCTGTTTTGGAACCCTCACAGGTGTTGTTAGTTGTCAAATTGCTCTCTTTGCTTCTCAATGACATTCACAGGTTTCCTTGCCTTTAGAGCTATGAACCCTGTGAGGGCTCAAAAAAAACTGTGAGGGATCTCCCCTCAAACAAACCAACGGTTTTTTTTCGAACTTGACGATGCCTAGGCGGATCTTGCCTGGAGGGGCCCAGATGAAGCCCGAAGTCCCGAAATCCATTGTTTTGGGTTTGCTTGGAACCCTCACAGGTTTGATTTGTTCTTGTTGTTTTTGTTTTCTTGGAACCATCTCATGATTCGTCGACCCAAGACGTGTTTTTAATTGTTTTTGATTGCATGGATCTCTTCTCATTTCCGAATATATGTATTCCCCACTGTTTTTGATTCCATGGTTCTCGGTTTCTTTTTGATTGTATGGATTTCTTATTGTCTTGGATCGTGTGGGTTTCTGATTGGTTTCGATTGTATGAATCTCTCTTTGTGCTTGATGGTGTGGATTTCTGTTTGTTTCTGATTGTTTGGTTTTCTTTTTGTTTTTGTGATATAGGTTTCATATTGCTTTTGAATGTACGCGTCTTCCCGTTATGATTGCGCGGGGAAAAGGTGATTAGGAGGCGGGGAAGGATAAGGACGATAATGAACATGATGATGATCATGCTGATAATCAGACTGATAACGATACTGATGATGTTGATGCTGATAACAATGGCGATGATGATGCTGATGATGATGCTGATGATGATGATTGTGATGATGATGATGAGAAACGCCCCACGTCACATAGCCTTAGATCTCAGCCTTACTCCCTCCCTCCCCCCCGTGCACGGATCGTGCCCCACAGGGAACTCCACCTTTGGCCCCAGATGGCGCGCTCGCATGCGACCCCGCCAACCTCGGCGAACTCCGCACGCGGATCGTGCCCCACAGAACTGTTGTATTCGCAACCCTCCCTTGCCCCGCAGGCCACGCCCTCCGCTACACCAGTTGCGCGGGCAAACTTTTTGGATCAGCTCGCGGCCCAGATCGGCGCCTGGAGCGAAACGATCCACATCTTACTGCATGCGGGCTGCAGGCGGGAAGGTGGGATGAGGGGAGGAGGAAGAGGAGGATGAGGAGGAGGAGCAGGAGGAGGAGGAGGAGTATGAGGAGGAGAAAGAGAAGGACTACCGAAGGAGGGCTAGGGTGAAGAGGATATACGGGTTCCACTGAAGGGTTGGGGGCACCGATCCCCTCCTTTTCCGACGCAGCGCGGCCCCTCCTCCGCCTCATCCCGTGTGGCCTCCATGTCCGCCTCTAGCTTGCGGAAGTCGAATTGGTCGATCAGCTTGCCTGGCTTTGGCGGGACCCTCGACCCTGGAACGTCAAGCTACTTCTACTCCGCTGTTCGTTCGCGGGGCATTCCCCTTGCATGTCTTTCCGGGATTACGCTTCGTAGCCCCACAGAAGAGAGGCGAAGAAAGATGCACAACCAGTACCAAGGACGAACTCAATCGAGAAACAGCGCCTGTCTTTGGGCCCTCCTTCTCCGTATTGACCGGACCGCTCTCCCCATCCTTGGCATGGGCCCTCCTCCTCCGCGTCATCGTCCTCGCGCTCTTTTAGTTTGACTCCTCACGGACAACATCGCATGCCTAGATCTTCTCACTCCCCCTCCTCCCTCCGCCTCGTCCTCGTCCCTTATCCTCTTCCCTGCTACCGCTACCGCTCCTCCACCCGTTCCACTCTTTCTGTACCACCTCCTCGTCCCTCCTCAGCCTCATTCTATCCCCCTTTACTTTCAGAGTTCCTTGCCCACCTCTCCACGCTCGATCTCTGCGTGTCCTGGCCTTGTCCCCCTGAAGACGGGTCGGAGCTCACATTCGCAGCTTCTCAATATGCACTCCAACCACTCTGCGGCTCGGGCCCTCGTTTTCACGTGAACTTCGCGGGCCACTCATTCCGCTCATCCGCCCGCCCGTATTGCTTGTGCGTCGTTATGGCCATCAGCGCCATCAGCGACGTCTTCGTCGTCGTCACCACTTTCAGCCACCCCTTACGAGCGGAGTGTCGAACGAGGAACCCCTCCCAAAAAGGGAGCCCCCCAAAAGGCCTCAGAGACCGCGGTCGCATACTGTGCTCTTGCCGTCTTGAATGCTAGTCCTGGTTGGCCACCTCTCACGGAGATGCTCGCCTTTGCCAGGGTTCCTCACGACGGCTGCAGCGGCCGCGCCCACGTTCTGGGCCAACACCGCCTTGGACAACTCCCCGCAAGGATCCCCCCCCGACAAGGGGGGCGCAAGAAAGCCTGCATAACTCCTGGATGGTCATGGGCCACCCTACTAGCCACATGCGAACCCTACCCCTCCCCCCCACGATTCCTGAGGGGGAGGGTGGGGTTCACATGTGTCCCCACCCTCCCCCTCAGAAATCCCTTAGGGTGGGGTCCACATGTGTTCCCCCCTCCCCCTACTAGGAGGCCACATACGAACCCCACCCTCCCCCTCAGAAATCGTGTGGGGTAGGGGTAGGGTTTGCATGTGGCCCCCTACCTATCGTGCGGATTTTCGCTCGGGGCCGACCTTCTTCCGCCGCGGCACGGCAGAGGCAAGCCGCACGGGCGCTCGACTTGCCAGGGGCGCTAGGCAAACGACATGTCCGGCTGCGGGAGGGGGAGAACGCGCCCTTGGGACCGAAGACACGTGAGGGTCGACAATCCATTTTCGGTGCCGACAACCTCGCCATCGCTCGGAAGTCCATTCCACGTGCATTTCTCGGTTTCGTGCGTGCTCTTTCGTCAGATGATCCAGGATGCTCCTCGCGGGTCCCCGCCGAGAAAAAAACGCCCACGTCCGAGCGATGCCAAGCAACCTGTTCCGGCAAGAGCAAGCCAGTCGGTCGCAGCACTCTAGTAAAACGTGGTTTTAGTGAAAACGACCTCGGGCCCAAACCTGGCGGGCGCAAGTCTGGAAAGTAACGGCCGCGGCGCCCTCTCGAGAACCGAAAACGGACAAATCACTAATCGACGTGTCATGGTAGGACGTCTGTCCTCCTACAGGCCGATTTTGAACGAAAAATTAACCATACCCAAAACATGCGCTAAACATTGCTAAAATGGTCAAACATTTAGTCCCGGGGCTATCTCTTGACTATTTTTGAATACTCCCCCTGTAGAGGGACAGGCCCGAGTTAGCACCAGGCCCCCCCCTCCAAAAAAAAGTGCGAATAACTTCGTGCTCTCGCGCCGCCTCCCAGGGGAGAAGAGGAGGACGAGGAGGAATCGGAGCCGAACCGCGAAACGCGAAGAACTTCGCGCCCTCGAGGGCGCCCTTGCGGCAAGAGCAAGCCCGTCGGTCGCAGCACTAGGGTTAAGTCGGGCGTGTCCCCCTACAGGCGGATTTTGGACGAAAAATAAACCACACCCAAAAATACACTAAAAATGCTCAAACATGGTCAAAAAGTTAGTCCCGGGACTATTTTCGGATCATTCTCGAATATCCCCCCTGTAGAAGGACAGGCCCTTGACTTTTCCCCCTTGATTTTTGAGTATCCCCCCCTTGAACTTTTGAATATTCCCTCCGTTTTTGAATAGTCCTCCTATTTTTGAATATTCCCCTCATTGTCGACTTTTTGAATATTCTCACTATTTTTCAATCGTTGAATATTCCCCCTATTCTTGAATATCCAAAGAAAAAAACGGCCCCAGAGGGCTGGTCGCCTCGAGCCGCCCTCCGCGCGCCCTCCCGCCGCCGCAGCGGCCTCCGGGCCCGACCGCGGTGGCGGCGGGCGTGGGCCGTGAGGGGGCCCCGGCCGCCTGGGGCCCCTCGCGAGGGCTCGGCGCCCCCTGCCGAGAGCTCCCCTCGAGTGAGTTTTTTTTTTGTTTGAGGGGATTTTCCAAAGTGGTTTTGGGGTTTTTGGGGTTTCTGGGGTTCCTGAACGTTTTTCTGAAGTTTTGGAGGGGTTGGGGGTTTTTGGGGGGTCCAAAGGGGGTTCCAAAGAGGGTTTTCCATATTTTTCTTTTGGGGGGGTCCAAAAAGGGGTTTTCGGGGACGAGGTGTTCCGCGTGTTTGGGGAGGGGGGTCCAAAATTGGTTTTTGGGGGGAGGGGGTCCTCCACGTCTTCGGGGGGGAGGGGGGGGGGGCCTCTTTGGGAGGGGGTGTTCCAGGGGGGGGTCGGGCTTCGCACCCCCTGTGTGGACGAGGTTCCGAGGCCCCTGGGGGGCTCTCTGGAAAACCCCCTCCCGCCCCCCCCCCGCCAGGAGCCGGCGCCCCCTGCCGATGCCGAGAGCTCCCATCGAGCGAGGGGGGGCGGCGTGCCCAGAGAGCCGAGGCCGTGGCCTTTTCCGCGCCGGGCCCCCGGAAGCCTCGGCCCTCTCCCGTGGGACCGGTGCATCGTCCCGGGCCGTTTCTTGGCGGCCCCGAGGCCTGGCGAGGGCCTCCCGAGGCCGAAATCGGCCGACGACCTCCCGTCCTGATGTTTTGCTGCTGCGACGCGATGGCCTGGCGAGGGCCTCCCGAGGCCGACATCGGCCGAAGACCTCCCGTCCTGATTTTTTGCTGTTGCGACGCGATCATTAGGCGCCCGAGTTATCAGGGGTAACTCGGGTCCGGGGTAACTCGGGCTTGGATTCCGGAAAAAAGGAACCCAAGTTAGCCCTGACACGAGTTACCCCTGATGATTCTGGGGCTCTGGACGCCCGAGTTATCTGGGGTAACTCGGGTCCGGGGTAACTCGGGTTTGGATTCCCGAAAAACGAACCCGAGTTATCCCTGACCCGAGTTACCCCTGATGACTCGGGGCTCTGAGATCATGTCTTTGTTGTTGCGACGCGATCGTGTCTGCTGATGAGGCCCTGAAGGCGTGGGCGCTCCTCGGACTGCTTTTGGGTGCCGCCTGCGCCTCGGCGCGCAGAGCCCCAGTCCACCGTGCCAGCGGCGCACCGAGGGGGAAGTGCTCAGTCGGGCGTGCCCCCCTCCACAGGGGGGAGATTGCAAAAACAGTACGAGAAAATCATCAGGAGGCGATTAAATCATCAGGAGAGAGGAGGAGGAGGAGGAGGAGGAGGAGAGGAGGAGGAGGAGGAGGAGGAGGAGGAGGAGGAGGTGGAGGAGGGATCTCTGATCATGTCGCTGGCGCAGGGGGCGGGACGTCTGCACGGCCTCGGCGGGGCCCCGCCGGCCGAGGCCGGCGACGGGGCCCCCGGTCGCAGGGGGGGCCGGCCCCCCTCCCCCCTCCCTCCCCCCCTTCCTCCTCCTCCCTCCTCCTCCTCTCTCCTCCTCCTCCCTCCTCCTCTCTCCTCCTCCTCCTCCTCCCCTCTCCTCCTTTTCCTCCTCCCCCTCCTCCTCCTCCTGGCAGGCTGGGGCGCACCTGGGCCCCAATCGGCGATCCAATCGGGCAGTTTTTGGGGTCGGCGTTCTCTCCCCCCTGAGCTTCTGCGGGACGCACAGGTGACTACCTACCAGGCCACCCCAACCCAACCCGAAGACTCGAATTTCGGGTTGGGGGGGTAGGGGTTCCACGTGTGTGTTTTTTCGAGGTTTCCCGCCCCCCCCCACCCCCACTGGAAATCGAGGGTAAATCTGAGCCTTCGGGTTGGGTTGGGGTGGTGTGGTGGGTGGCCCCGATCGGCGATCCAATCGGGCAGTTTTTGGGGTCGACGTTCTCTCCCCCCTGAGCTTCTGCGGGGCGCACAGAGGCACACTGATACTCGGGGGGAAAACAAACCTACCTCGCTTTTGGCCACCCTCGCTTCCAAGAGATACCAAACGATGCCAAATGGCGGCCTGTACTGGTCAGGCCGCTTGACGAGGAGGCGCGTGGTATGGCTTGGTTCTGCCTGGAAGCGAAAGCGGGGGAGGTAATTCACGCTCTGAGATACTACATGTCCGCCTGGGCGGCGCGCGTCCGACCCGAACATGCAGTGTACCCATATCGTAGCAGATCGTTTTTCTCGAGCGGTGTGGCCAGAAAGCGCCCGCCGCGACGCACATACTGGAAGATTTCTCGGTACGCGCGTCGCCCCTGGGGGGGGGGAGGGGGCGACACACATAGAATAAGTATGTTGGGTTGAGGTTCTCTCCCCCTGAGCTTTTGGACGCCCGAGATGGGTACGGAACTTAGCTGCCCCGATACGCAACACGCAACACGTAGCGTGTTGATACGGAGCTCAACACATAGAGTGAACACGTACGTTTTGAACACGGACGTTTCGAGCACGGCACGTGTTGCGTTCAAACCGTGCGTATCAGAGCAGCTAAGGTACGGAAAAAATGGGCACAATGCACAGCAACGAATGCTGTCGTCGCAAACCAGCAGCGGCCGCTGTTGGGCAGGCGGCCTTCTGTCCCAAATGGACACAGGCCGCGGCGGCGCGGACAGCGAGTCCTGCTCAAAATGAGCAGGAACTGCTGTTGAGCATTGTACCCACTATTTTCAGTACCCGTGTCGTTCGCGCCGATGAGCGAGTCCCCCTCTGGTAGAAGGAAACAATCAGTGGACACTCCCCCGCCCCCCCCCAAAAAAACGAATAATCATAGTTGGCTCGCGCGGGGAAGACCGCGGTCGGAGTGCAGCTCATTCAACCCGCCGCCAACATTGATCATTGGGGGGGGACGCATTGACAGATGAATGCGGCATGAGTCTTTGCAAAGTTCTTCCGAGGCCTGTCTGTCGTTGCCACTGCTCAGAACCCCAGGCAGGGCGACCCATCTCCCAAGGTTGGGAACCTCCAAGTCCTGTTCTGTGGGGGCGGCGGCGCCACGACTCGGACAGGCTTTGTGCCCAAGCGCTGAACTACGTAGCTGGCACGGTCTCTCCATGGCACCGCCAGGAAGGAGGTTACCAAGAAGAGCAATAAGAGGAGGGGGATCCTTGGCTTCACCTACTGTTTCTGACTACCTACCAGACCACCCCAACCCAACCCGAAAACCCGAATTTCGGGTTGGGGGAGGTAAGGGTTCCATATGTGTTTTCTCAACACTCCCCGACCCCCCCCCCACTGGAAATGGAGGGCAATTTGGAGCCTTCGGGTTGGGTTGGGGTGGTTTGGTGGGTGGTGAGTTTCGTGCCCCCAGAACAAGCAGTGCCTGCCGGGAATACCCATGGCTCGTTTTAGACACGCCGAATCCAACAAAAACGTCTGCACCTCCTGGGCGGCAGCTCTGTACTCCCGCCAGGTTCCGCCGGCGGAGCCGCCTCCCTCTGACCAGGAGGCGGCCTCTCGATCCCTCGAGGCCGAGGCCATTTCTGAAGCGCACTGGGGGGAGAGCGTTGCGTCATAAGAGGGGAGGGGGGGGGGCCATGACGCCCGTCATGCCCCAAGCAACAAAGAAACACGCCCCAAGAAGAGCGCGGCGAACCCAAGTGAGACGCCCACGCTGCTCGAGGCGTGTCCCGAGGCCTCCTCGAGCCGCCACCCAGCCTGCGTCCATAGGCGTCCAACGTCCACAACGAGCAAGACCGAACACCGATCGAACCGGCAGCGAAACCGAAACGGACGGACCAAAATCATCCTCGAAGGACGCAGCGGCCCAGCAACCGACCGAACCGAACCGGCCGAATGCGGCCGACTGCGAAGCAGCCGAACCGACCGAACCGCGGACACCCTCGGAATTCCACAGGACGCTCGTGGCAGCCCCCACTGAGGCCGTGGACTCCTCCACGCGAGCCTGAATAAGGCCAGGACGCCCTGAAGACGGCCGTCCAGCCCTGCACTGTGATGGGCATCGTGCGGTTCTCACACGGTGAGCTGCACTCTGGGCTGTTGTCCCCCAGAGACCAGACCCACCACGGCACCGAGACTGCCCCCAGACCCAAGCTGACCCAAAAGGGTGGCAGGGCGGCTCGAGGATAGCCTCAGGGGCCATCCAAGACACTCCTGGGGTCTCCCTGAGCCCGTGCCGCCCCTGATATTTCCCTTTCACAATATGAATCCAGCTCAGTATGTCCCGTTGTCAGCACCTTCGGCCACCTCCCCAAACATACAATCATGCAGCCTTCTGGTCATAGCTCCCCAAGCACGATGGCAGACATGCCTACAACTGACGTTTTCAAACCATGTTCATGCAATCTTGAACGGACACCCCTCCCAGGGCGTGGGTCCCAAGAGACTCGGAACGGCGTCAGCCTAACGGAAAAAGACAGCTGGCGTGACGAGGACTTTCATTTCTTTTTGCAGCGCCGAGAGCTCAGGCCCACACCTGAGTACACTTGCGATGGCGGCTGACGGCAGAGCTGAAACACTGAGAGCCCACTGGCCCACACGGCCGAGGAGCTCGAGAAATCTGACAGTCTGGCCAGACCTGAAATCAAACCCGAATTCGCAGAAGTCCAAGCTACTTTGCCTTCCACTCCAGCGTTTCCCTGGGTGGGAAGGGCGGGGCGGCAGAAAGGCTTGAGGGGAAGAGGCAGCGGGAGGGGAGAAAGCGAATGCACAAGCGATGAGACCAAATGCAATGCAATCTTGAACGGACACCCCTCCCAGGGCGTGGGTCCCAAGAGACTCGGAACGGCGTCAGCCTAACGGAAAAAGACAGCTGGCGTGACGAGGACTTTCATTTCTTTTGCAGCGCCGAGAGCTCAGGCCCACACCTGAGTACACTTGCGATGGCGGCTGACGGCAGAGCTGAAACACTGAGAGCCCACTGGCCCACACGGCCGAGGAGCTCGAGAAATCTGACAGTCTGGCCAGACCTGAAATCAAACCCATATCGAACGCTGGAGTAAATCCCATATCGACTCCATTGGCTTGCCGAGGGAACACTGCAGCAGGCTGAGCGCTGAGAGGCAACTTACGAGAGGAAGGACAACTGCATGGCCTCTGCACGCTTAGCCTCTGCTTTCACAGCGGCCGAGAGGCGTCTGAAAGAAGCAAGTGCACGGCCGCTCTTTTGATAGCGCTGTACAGAACGGAAGCTCGACCACCTGCCGCGAGACTGAATGTCGGCCAGCGAGCGGGCGCCCCTCAGGTAGTCCTCCGACGGACCGCCGTGCCGAGGGAGGTGGGCCGTCACCTTGGTCGGGAGGCCGACGGCGACGGCGGCCTTCTTGAGCAAGCGGTTGTACGAAGCGTACGAGTGGAGGAACATGAGGCGCCCGTGGCGGGCTTGGTTGGCGCTCTTGACGAGGGCCATGAGAGCGCCGGCCACGCCAGCGCGAGACCGGCCATCGATGAGCACGGTGTCGTCCTGGAGGCCAGTCTTGGTCACGCGAGTGTGCACGTCGTCGCCCATGACCAGCGCGGAGGCACCGACGACGAGCCCCATCTTGTTGTAGCCTGAGCCGGCACTCGGCTGCGGCAGGATGCAGCAGGGCACGCGAAGGTCCAGCAGCTCTCCAGGGCGCAAGTACGTGTCAAACTGTACCACCAGGCCGCGGGCGGCCTGCAGGGCAATCTCCGTGTTGAGGCCGGCCAGGTACAGGGCCATCAAGCACGCAGCCGCCCAGCAGAGCGGCTCCGAGGTGACGTCCGGCTCGAGCTTGCCCCAGCCGGAGAGGGCGCCCTTCGCCTTCGGGAAGACGTCTGGGGCACGAAGCGACACGCTGAATCGGTAGGCCAAGGCGGCCAAGGTGTAGCGGGCCGTGCTCTTGCTGCCGCCGTCGACGTAGAGCTGCTCGAAGTACTCCTCGAGAAGCGTGTCCACCAGGGGGAGGTCTTTGCTCACCCAGCGGTCGGCGACAACGCCCATGGCCGTGGCGAACACGACGACACTGGCGAGGTAGCGGGCCTGAGTGGCCGGCCGCACCTGCGAGCGCCGCAGGAAGCCCGGCGAGGAGTCAGCAGGCACCTGGCGGGCCCGGGCAGCCGACGCCCGGCCTCTGCCGAGGCTTCGGCCTTGCCCGCGGCCGCGGGAGGCCGACGAAGCGGCCCCAGCCCTCGGCGTCGGGCGGCCAGAGCGCGACCCACTTCCGCGGGCAGCTGGGGCACTCGAGGGACGGCTGGCCGTCGTCCATCTTGGCTGCGCGGCGGAGCTGAGTCTCCCAGTGACCGGGCAGCAGTGGATCCCCATCTGGTCGCCAGGCTCCCGCGGGCGCCGCGCGCGCCAAGGCCCGAGCGGCGCTGTGGCAGACACCAGGAGGGTAGGCGCCAGCCAGGGTCGTGCGCCAGAACTGCTTGAGCCGACCCTGGCGATCACGGACCCTGACCTTCCCCTGAAGATGCTCGTGGGCATGACCTCCAAGACAACGCCTTTCAAGGATGCCGAGCTCGGGGAGGTCAGACTCAATCCTGGTGGGCTTCTGGTACGGGGCTCCAAACTGACAGCAGTCATACACCACGGAGACCTTGCTATGCTCGGACAGGAACTTCTGGAGAGGCTCCCAAGAGAAGAGCCGGGATCCCCGGGGGTTCTCGAGGGACCACCTGACGCCGAACTGAACGCACAAGCGAAGTAGACGAAGAGTGACATGAGCACACCGCCGACCGGCGCGTATAGCAGACGTATCATTGGCCCCACGGCGAGCAACTGACCACGGAGTGCACGGAGTCCCGAAGTGCACGAACCAGACCTTGCGAGAGACGATCCACTGGCGAACGACGGTCTCGATGCTGGGCCGAAGCAGGTCGCCCCAACCCCCGAACTTGATGTCGATCGGAGCCGCGACAGCCAGACCGAGCTGCGCGAGAGCCCCCGTCCAGCGAGCCCCCCCCGAGAAGATCTCGAGAGCCGCCCGACGTCCACGAAGCCGAGGTGCAGGAACACGAGCCGGCTCGACCGCGACGAACGGCATGGGCGGAGGGGGCGGCAGCCCGGGAGGCTCTGTCGTCCATTTTCGGCCAGGCCGGGCATGCAAGCGAAGGCTCCCGAGGGCAGGCGGCCCGCGCGGCGCGCTCCCGACGCGCGTGCGCGGCCCGGAGCGGCCCAGTCGTGGCGGGGCCCGCTCGGAAGAGAGGTGCCGAGGCCCCGGCACGAGTCTCCGTCCGACTCGTCCGAGGGCCCCAGCAGGCCGCGGCGAAGGCACTGGCCGCGGCCGTGGGCGGCGCCCGCGTGGGCAGGCCGCAGGCGGCGACGGCTCGCGGGCCCCCTCGGCCTCGACGAACGTCGCCTTGCGTGAAGGGAGGCCAGGGGCGCCGGCTGCGAGCCCCTCTTGTGGCCGTGGGGCGCACCGCGGCCCGCAGCGACCAGCAGCCCCAGAGGCCCGCGGCGGCGGCCGCGGCGGGCAGGTCTGCAGTCGGCCGCCGCGCAGCCGCGCTGCGGGGGGAGGCTCGCCAGCCTCCTCGGCGACAGGCCAGCTGGCGGTCGCCGAGGGCGCCGGCGGGGCCGGCGCCGGGGGCGCCGACTGCCGGCACCCAGCGGGCAGAGCGGGCCTCTCCGACCTGCCGCCAACCCGCCGCTGTCCTGGGCGGTAGACGCCCTGCAGCGCCTTCCTCGACCCCGCGTCACTGAGGTTGCGGTCCGTGTCGAGGTGCCGGCGCCGCCAGGAGATCCCGCAGGCGATCTGGTAGGCGGCGGCCCTCCGGCACAGACAAGCGAGGCCGTGGTCCACGGCCCGCCCCTTCTCGACGGAGAGGAGCTCCGACATGTTGTCGCCCAGGCTGAGCACCCGGGAGCCGTGGCAGTCGACCTGCCGGGCGGCGTGCCGCAGGCCGCCCAGGGCGATGCGGCCCTCCAGCAGGTGGATGGGGGCCGCGCGGCGCCAGGCGCCCTCGACGATGAGAGACCAGTCCCTGGGATCGACGAGGCTGTCGGGCACGGAGACGCCAGCAGGTCGCACAGTGGGTCTGAGCCGCCCCTTGAGCACGCCTCGGGCGCCCTCCCTCGAGCGCGTCGGCGGCGGGGCCCAGACGGCCACGCCTGCAGCGCCGGGCGGCTCTCCCAGCACCCCTCCAGCGCCAGGCACCCAGCCCGGGGAGAAGGTGTCGTCGAGCGCCGCGTCGGGCCGCTTCTCGTCGGGGACGAACCTCCACCTCTCCCGGGTAGCAGCCAGCTGCCGAAGGAGTCGTACGTCAGCGCGTCGGCGATGAAGGGCGTAGCCTGACTCGGACGAGTCGGAGCACAAAACCAGGGAGGACATCGGCCGGTCCAAGAAGACGACGGCCTGGAAGATGAGGCCCCTGAAGAGCTGGATCTCCCGGCGGGCCCCAGCAGACAGTGCGACTGGAGGCCCCTGACCCTGCGCGTCCACGATGCGGTAGAGCAGGCGGAAGATCGAGAGGGCCGGCCGCAGCAGCAGGCAGTGCTGCACACAATGCCCGAGGAACACTCGGATCTGCCAGGCCGCGCGCGGAACCCCAGGGCGCTCGAGCTCCTGACAGGCCAAATAGAGGCGCCAGGCTCGGTGATCTGAATGCCGCAGACGCCTCCGCCTCCCGTCGTACTCGACGCCGACGGTGGTGAAGTGCGTGGCCGGGCCCTCGACCTCGTGGTGCGCGATGCCGAGCGAGTCGAGCTTGTCCTTCGCGGCCTGCAGCGCGTGCCCGACGTCGTCGCTCGAGAGGCCCAGGAACGAGACGTTGTCCACGTAGACCGACCCTGTGGGGCGGAAGGGTGCCGCGACGGGAGCCGGCTGCTTGTCAAGCAGCAGGCGTCGGGCACCCCCCGGCAGCGTGTCCGAGACCCAGGACGTGACGGACGAGTGCACGGCCCAGAGTGCCCATGACCACCCCATCGGCACCCCGCGGAACACCGGGAACACGAGCTCGTCGGGGTCGACAGGGGACAGGCCGTCGGGCGTCCAGATGTGCGAGACCTGGTAGTAGGACGCCCGCTCAGGAAAGTCCATCCCGAAATCCTCCGCGACGCGCTCCGAGAAGAACTGGTAGAACGAGTCCTGGAGGTCGAGGGACGACCCGAAGATCTGAGCAGGCGAGCCGTCAGCACTAACCCATCCGGCGTCCGCGAGCGCAGCATCGGACCAGTCCTGCTCGCTGAGGGCAGCCGGGGTCCCGAGGGCGGCACGCGGGGGCGCCCAGTGGGTGCGGTTGGTGTCGCGAGCGTCGACGACCAGGCGGATCCAGCCGCCCTTCTTCTCGACGAAGAAACACCCCACGCGTGACCTGATCCGCCTCCGAAAGCCGACCAGCCCCCGCCCCGCGAGCCTGAGGAGGAAGTCCCGCCGAAGGCGGGCGTCGCTGGCAAGCCGCGCGTCCCAGTACGGCTTGATCGGCGGCAGGAGCTCGAGGTCCTGCTCCACCACGCGGTCCGGCTTGCGGATGTAGGCGTCGGGGTCGCGGAAGGCGTCGACGACGAACTTGGGGCAGACCTCCTCCACGTCTCGAGGCGTGACCGAGGACTGCCAGAACTTGAGCTTGGACTCCTCGTACGGGACGACCTTGGACGGCGCGCCTCCGTAGAGCGAGTCGGACTTGAGGAGCTCCTGAAGGGCTCCGCGAGGGTGGAGATCTGCCGGGCGAGGGCCGTACTCCGCCACGCAGCGGCCGAGCTGCCGGCCGCGCGAGGACGAGGTCGCCGTACCCGAAGTCCCTGAATCGGCAGCGCCACCTGGCCCGCGGCCACGATGGCGCACCGCGCAGGCGGCGAGACAGTTGATCGAGCGAACTGCCTCACGAACACGGTGTTCACGAGAGCGTCGCTGGAGCGCCCGCTGGCGCAGGTACCGCGGCGCCCCGCTGAGGTCGACCGGCGGGCCAGGCCCCGGGACCGAAAGCGGCAGCGGGTCCCCGTGCGAGGAGCGAGATCCCGATGCCATGGGGAGGACGTGGAGGCGGCCGCGGCGGAGGAACCCGCGGCGGCAGCCAGGCAGGGCGGGGCGCCGCAGGACGCCCAGCCCAAGGAGGGGGCCAGCCGGCCCCCTGCTACTTGCCAGCGTCGGCCCCGCCGCCCTTGGGCCCCTTCGGGGGCGCCTTGGGCTGCGCGGCCGTCCTCTCCTCCTGCCACTGCCGATTCGCCTTCATAGTCTGGGCGCGGGCGCGCGCCTGATCGCCAACCCATCCATCGAACTCCGGCAGCACCATGCCGCCCGTGTCGTCGACCCCCGTGTCGAGGATGAGGTCGAGCCCCTCGAAGTCGGGAGCCCGAGGGTTCTTGCGGGTCGCCGACTCCAGCTGCTTGAGCCGCCTGACGAGGTACTCGGCGCCCGCGATGTTGAACAGGTCCAGCTGATCGAACTGCTGCATCATGCGAAGAGACACGCAGATCATGTGGTGCTCGCGGGCCACGTTGCCGCGCTCGGCCACTCCGCTGCGTCGGAGCCACGTGGTGTGGTGCTCCTCCCAGTTGCCCTGACCTCCGTCGCGAAGGGAGAGCACAGCCTCCCTCGTGGCTCGGCGGCCCTGCAGAGGCCAGCCCGGGATCGTCGTCTCCTTCATGCGGCGGACCGAGTCGCGGAAGTCGATGTACCTGCCCCCGTCCTGGTCCCTCTCGTCGCCGACGACACGCGGATCCCGGCCAGCTCCCCCGCGAGCTCTCGCGAGGTACGTGTCGAAGTTCTGGCCCTCGCTCACCTTGATCGCGTGGACCCAGACGTCGTCGAGCCGGACAAGCCCCACATCCCCACGCCGCACCAGGACCTCCTCGTTGGCGAGCACCTGGGGCGGCACCTCCTCGCCGAAGTGCGACGAGGTGGGGTCGCTCACGTACCACTTGTCGCCCGGGAGGCCCACGACGCCGGCGAGGTCGAAGCCGAGGATCGTGCCAAGGGCCCTGGCCTCCTCGAGGTAGCCCTGCATGTCCTCCGCCGCCACGTCGTCGAAGGCGTAGATGTTCCCAGCATGCCGTGCTGGGAACGGGCCCGACCGCCGAAGGGCCAGCACCCGAAAGGTGGCCAGGTCGACGAAGGCCACCTCCCCGTCCGGCGTGAGCCAGATCCACTTCTGGGCATCTCCCTTCACCAACAGCACACGATGATGCCACTGGAAGTTCTCGTCGTCCTCGTACCTGACGAGGCACTGGCTGAACGGCGTGTCCAGCGCTCGGGCCATGGCGGCCCTCAGTCAGTGCGGGTGCCGGGAGCCCGCCGGCCTCGCCCGAGAGCCGACGGCGTCGCGACGTGCGTGCCGACGGCGTCGTCCTCGACGGCGAGGGCCCGCGCTCGCACCGCCGGCCGACCCGGCGCTCCAGCCGCCAGCCAGGCCGCTGTCGCCAGCCCAGCGCCAAGGGCCACGCCCACCACGGCCGCGCCGCAGAGGTCGAGCCCCGTGTAGTGCCCAGGCGGAAGCGGGCACGGAGGGCAGGGCTGGCACGCGACCCCCTGCAGGTGCTCCGGGCCGCAGCGTGCCAGCTGCTCCCGGAGGATGGCCACCAGGCCGTCGGTCGTGTCCGAGCCCTCGAACACGCAGCGGCAGGAGACCTCGGCGACCCCGCTGCGGCCAGCCCCGGTCCAGCGCTCGGAGAGCGCCCCGAGAACCCAGCCGCCGGCAGCGTGCACCCAGGCGGCCATGAAACGTTCACGGCAGAAAGGCTTGAGGGGAAGAGGCAGCGGGAGGGGAGAAAGCGAATGCACAAGCGATGAGACCAAATGCAATGGGTGTCTCTGCGGAGCAACTGATGGCAACCATTGGCGAACAAAAACAGCTGTAAGGTTGACACCACAGCCGCACCTCATCAGCATTGCTTCGCACCGTTCGGAACATACTCATGATGCGAAGGAAACCAACATCCTTCACTACTCCATCAGCGTGCTCGCGGCCCCCCACCTCATTTCTCCCTCCTCTGTTGCGCAATCTGAATACACCTCTCCCCTCTCTCCTGCGCACAGATTCCTACACGTAGGATTGTCCCGAGTCGGATTTTGACATGTTCCTCCCAACCCTCCCGTGTTGATATGGGCTCTCGATTTGAATCCGCAGCGCGCGCGCGCGTCTTGACCTCCTCCTCATCCTCCTCCTTCCTCCCCGTCCTCCCTCGTTGCCCGTCCTCCGCTCTCCGCGCGTCCACTTCGGCTCATCCCTGACACGCTCCGTGCACCTGCGGGGGGCTTCTCTCCGACGGCCTGAGCTGGCGCGGCACGCTCGTGCGCCGCCGCCGCCGCCCCCACTTCGACACCCCCCTCACGCGCCTCGCTCGCCTTACGGAGCCTGACATCACATCTGTCTCGGCAGCCCTGGCCGTATGGCATCGGCGCCAGTTCGGCACACCACTCGCACGCGTCACGCTTGAGGGAAGCTCCAGCTGCGGCCTGTGTTGGGAGCGGTCGTGCGGCACCGCCGCCCCATTCCGGCGCACCGCTCACACGCTTCGTGCCATTTGGGAAACGCCACCTGCGGTATCAGCCGGCTCGGTCGTATGACACCGCCGCCAACATTTCGGCACACCCCTCACTCGCTTCGCGCCCCTTGACGAAACGAGGGCTGCCTGGGGTCCCAGCTGGCGCGGTCGTATGGCACCGCCTCCCCCCTTTCGGGCACAACCCCCGCACGATTCGACTCGTGCCCCCCATGTCAACAGACCCCTGACACGTTTCGTGACCATTAGGGATCAATACCTGCGGCCTCAGCCGGCGCGGTCGCTTGCCACCGCCGCCCAAATTTCGGCACGCCTTTCACACGTTTGGTTCCCCCTTGGGAGGCTCTACCTTCGGCCTCAGCGGGCGCGGTCGTTTGCAACCATCGCCCAAGCTTCGGCACAAGACTCACTCGTTCCGTGCCCCTGAAGGAGCCCGGCCTATGGTCTCAGTGGGCGTGGTCGTGCGGCACCGTCGCCCCCACTGCGGCACACCCCTCACGAAAACCGCGGCCCCATAAGGAGCTCCGCATACGGCCTCAATGACAGGATCTGCATGCCGGCGCCCCGCATTGCAGTACCGCCCACCTCTGTGCCCCACCCACGAGGTTCGCGGCCCAATATGGGGGCTCTACCTACGACCCCAGTAGCAGGGTCCGTCTGGCAACGCCACCCATTTCCAGCACGAAGACCATGCTCTCGCACTGTAGGGAACCCCATCTTCGGCCTCATTGGCAAGTTCCGCATGGCGGCGCCGTCCATTCGGGCGCACCCCTCACCTGGTCCGTGGCCCTGTAAGGAGCTCCACTGTCGAGGACGGAAAGAAGGTCTGGTTCAAGAAGGGTGGTTTCGACGGCTGCTGGGGCGCCTCAGGTCGTGCTGGAGTGCCTAAGGTAGTTTTTTTGGTCCGGCGCGCGCTGGCCGAGCGTGACGCAGCAAGAAGCCGCGCCCATAGCGCCGAGGCGCCGTGCCCAGGACAGGCCACCTGCACCGAATTAGGGGGGGGAGGGGAAGGCCCCCACGACCCTGGCCAGCACAGGGGAGTGCGCGGCAGCTGGAGGGACCTCGAGTCCAGCGAAACCAACCTTGTCCAACGAATCCTTCTGGCAGCCTCCGACACTGAAGGCCCCCGCGGGAGAGGCCGCATGCCGGCGCCGCTCAGTGCGGGCACCCTCGCGAGCATCGCTTCCCTACTGTGAGCTCCTGCGGCCGTAGTGGGAGGGTCCGCCTGGCGGCGCCACTCATTTCGGCACAACTCTCACAAGAATGGCGCTCCATCGGGAGCTCCATCTACGGCCGCAGTGGGAAAGTGTGCATGCGCACTTCCACCCGTTTCGGCACACTCCTCCACGGGAGCTCCACCTACGGCCCAAGTGGAACAGTTTGCGTGAGCTTCCAGGCGCATGTCATCGTACCCCTCAAACGTTTCGTGCCCCTTGGGAGCTCCACCTGCGGCCCCAGTGGGGAAGTTCGCATGCGTCCCCCACCCAGGTCGGCACATCCCTCATACAGATCGTGCATAGAAAGGTTCACCACCAACGTTACATGAGGCTGCGAAGGGTTGGGTCCCTCGCCAGGTAAACTTCCAATCAGAAGTTTCTCGGTCTTTCAATAAACAGTGCTCCTGATGCAACGCTTTTTGTTTTTATTATGATTATGCGAGCGCTGCTCATCAAAATCAAAATCGTCAACAGTTGCGATGTTGTAAAGCTGGTATACAGCGGTGGTCGCGTAGACGATTCACTGGCGGTGACCAGCTAGCACCGCAACCGAATCAGTGCTCCTGCTGCAACGTTGGTCACATTTCAGGACCTGTGTTCCACACTCCGTCGTTCTCCGATTCATTCCTCGTGGTTGCCGTCCCCCTCTTCCTCTCCTTCCGCCTTCCGCTGATCCTCCTGCTACTCCTGCGCCTGCTCCTGTCCCTGCTGCATGCGATGCTCCTGCTCAAACGCTACTTCCTCCTCATCCTTCAATGTGCACCCCCCTTTCTGATTGCTCATCACACGGTGGGGTCACTTGGGGTATCAAGGTCTTATAAGACTCCCCACGGATACAATAATAGGATGAATGGACGGGTAGGATGCCAACTATATAGCCTAGCCGACCACAGAAATCCTACGGTCGGGAACGTTTCCTTAGCGTGTCGCGGCGGCGGCCCCAGCGGCAGGCTACGCCTTGCAAGCGGGTAGCGTGTCGCTCCGCTCCGCGGGGCGGGAGGCTGGGAAATGCTCGGGGCGCTGTCACTGGGGGGCCGAGAAGTGGATTGCGAGTCGCGCCAGAGCGTGGTGTGCCAGAACTGGCGGAGCGACACGCCATCAAGGCATGCCCGACCGTACAGGGCAGTTTTTAATACATAAGATTTAAGACATATGGGACTTTTAATGATGATTAAAATATGAATAACTTTATGCGTGAACTCACCGTTGTTTTTAATACTAAATCCCTGCATTTTTTGATACATGATCCGCACGCGGAGCATGTATCAAAAACGGCACTGTATATCCAAGCAACATGTGATGCCGCTGGAAGGGCAAACTGTACTTCCGCCAGTCCCCGCCCGGCGAGCCACCCTCGCTCGAGCTCCGCCGCCGGCCCTCGGGGGCGCGCAGACATGGAGGAGCCATCCATGGATTTGGCGCGCGGTCGCCAAATCCGTGGATCGGGGGAGGTGCCCTCCCCAAAATGCGGCCGTTGCCGCCTCGTTCGGCATCGGAAATCCGCGAAGTCCCGTGGAAGCGGGACCCGTCGCTAGTCCACTCCCCCTTGATCCATGTTCGCGATCGCCGGAGTTTTAATTCCGCCGCCCGTCCAGAGATGAAGAACTCCACCGATCACCCGAAGGAGGTGCAATTTTTGGAACGCGCCACATGGCGCGAGCGTTCCTGGCCTGCCTTCCTTCCCCCCCCACTGCCCGCCTCTTCCATCTCGTCACCCAGCCCCTCCTAATGCTCCTCCTCCTCCTCCTCCTCCTCCTCCTCCTCCTCCTCCTCCTCCTCCTCCTCCTTTCCTCCTTATCCTCCATTGTCATCGTCCTCCTCAACCTCCGCCTCCTCCTCTTCTTCTTCCTCCTCCTCCCTCTCCTCCTCCTCCTCCTCCTCCTCCTCCTCCTCCTCCTCCTCCTCATCATCATCACCACCACCACCATCATCATCAGCAGCAGTAGCAGCAGCAGCCATCATCATCGTCATCATCGTCATCATCATCAGCATCACCAGCATCAGCATCAGTATCAGTATCAGTATCAGCATCAGCATCAGCATCAGCATCAGCATCAGCATCAGCATCAGCATCAGCATCATCATCATCATCAGCATCATCATCATCATCATCATCATCATCATCATCATCATCATCATCATCATCATCGTCGGCATCATCACCACCATCATCATCAGCATCAACATCAGCATCATTATCTTCCTCACCATCGAACTGATCATCAGCATCACAGCATCCTCCTCATCCTCCCCTTCCTCCTCGTCATCATCATAATACTCATCATCATAATCATCAACATCATCATTCAGGGTTACGTGCTCTGCCCTCCACACTCATTCTCCCCGTGTCCTAATCAATGGCCATCCCTGGAGACAGATCGGCACGCACGGTCTCAGCCGATGTGCGCTTAGATGATACGAGATAGAGGTCCGTGATCTTGAACTCTTCCTTGAAGAAGTCCCTGGTAGCAAGGAGAAGCAACCGATTGCCGAGACTGCTCACCTGTCGAGCTGCGTCGAGTGACGTAGATTACCGCCCATTGATCACCTGATGTCCCTCTCCTTCTCCTCCTCGCGAGTCTGTTCAAATGACAGGGAGGCGGATGGATGCGCCCGCGCTTCTCTGGACTGCCATCGAGCCAACTTCGCAACTACAAGACGAGAAGGGGGCGGAATAGGCAGCGGAGGAGGGGCAGGACGAGACGGGAAGAGGGCGGTGGAGGAGGGGTAGGAATAGGTCTCGATCCAGCGAGCAGACTGCAGGGAGCATCTCCCTCCCGCGCCCTCCCCCGTGTGCCCTCCCCACCCTCGCCCTTCTCCTCTCCCCCTCCCCCTTCCCTGGGTCGGACGCACAGGGGGGCAGCCGACAGAGGGAGGGGATAGCGGACCAGCTCCCGCAGCTGGTTCTCCTGGCGCCTCCCGGCGCCGGGATGCGCCAGTGTGTCAGGTGACTGCGCTCGGCGGCGGGGCGGAAGCCTGCTGCGTGCGGCATGCTTTCCAAGAGACGCCCGTGCAGGGGAGGGCGCCCAACGGCGCAGCGGCGATGCCGAAACCGGCTGCACGCAGCAGATGTCGTACCCCTCCCTATCCTCCCCCCCCCCGCCGTCCGACCCGATCCACCCCTCCCCTTCCGCCCCTGGACCCGTCCAGCCCTCCGCCCCCCCCCCCGCTCCCCCCAAACCGAATGACTGCGCAATGGCGGTCCGCCCGCTCGTCGAGCTGGTGGACTGGTCGGCGAACCACCCCTCCGCCCCTCCACCGCCTCCTCCCCCTGCCCTTTCGTCCGACCCGGCCCCTCTTTCCTTGGACTTCCGGGGTCACGCATGGGAGCTGCAGACCGACGTCCACCACTGGCC